CCACGCTCTGATGTCCCCATCAAATAATTTGATTGTATCTGGTGTAATTTAGAGGGTCATAGGTTTGAAGAACAAGGTTACCATGCAATGTAGGATAAAGACTGCGTAATAATGTGGACCCTCGCGGCTTTAAAGTGCCAAAATATTAGAGGACTGATTATTTCTACTGCTTTCCCTTATTGATATCTCTACAACCTCTACAAACTTTATAAATGATTTGGCTGTGAGTTCATTGGGTATGGGAGAGAATGGATTTTGCTTTGAGAGCTTTTGGGGAATGAAAAATCAGATTTAGTGCCATATGATCATTAGGCTTTTCTTCTTCAATGCTTAGAGTATATATATATTTAGCTTTCAGAAAAAACTTCCAACTCTCTGATTTTATTTGGGAAAGGTTACAACGTCTAAAAACCAGCCATTATAGACTTCATATCCATGCCTGATAAAATTCTGGTTTTAATGGGTAACCACAAAGTCTTTGCAGGGGGCCGCTAACTCAATAATGGCGTTCACAATCTCTTAATGGCATCCCACCAATTAGCTTAAGAACTCGGGGACCTTGGAGCATGCAGTTTAGACTCGCTTTTTTTTTATTCTAGTTGCGCTCTGTGCTGAGTAGTGAGGGAATGACATATAATGTAAATAATGCAAAGTTTTGAAACATATGTAAATATATTTATATAAAATGAAAATATATGAACAAATATATTACTTTGCATGGAAAAAATATTTTGGATTCAATGGTGATAATAATCATAATAAATTATTTATGAGGAAATAAGAGGCAATTTCCAAATTGAAATTAGAATTTCTGCAAAAGAGTTAATATATTTAGGAGATTAAGAATAAATTTTGTGATTTTTAAATATTTATGACATTATATTTTTTATATGAGCTTGAGCCAAAGGAAATATCATTATGTAAATTACAAATATAATAAGTTTATGGACTTTAATGACTTAATTGAACTTTAACACACTTGTTGTAGTTTTCTTGAGCTCTAATGGATATTTACACGTTGAAATTGAGCGTGGTCTATGGCTTTCATCAATATTGAAATAAAGTAGCATTTTGCATCAAGATTAGTATTGTCATCCAAATCCTGTGCTAATATTTCATTCTTGAAACCGCTTAATCAAATCTTCAGAATTTTCTAATCATATGTGTGCTATCATTAAATTCAAGCTTATATAGCGCATGACTCATGGGATACATAATAATAACTTGGAATGTTTCTTACTTGGAGATAAAATATGTCAATTGATTATAGTTTTAAGTCTTCCTCAAGCATTTTTGTCGTTAAATATTTTTTAGGGTCTTGCATGGATGAGCCTTATCTTATGGTGGAGTTCTTGGCGTTGAAGGGTAACCATATTTAAGATTTGCCACTAGTGGACTTCTCTCTCCCTCTCTCAATACGAATTTCTTCACAATGGGGAGAGTCAAATTTTTAGGGCTTGACTTTTAGTTTTATGATACTTCAAATTTGGCATGATGCTTGATTATGCGACGTTTTTTGAAATTCAGAGAATATCGAAGAATAGAGAAATCCCAATAAAATCATGTAATGATAGAGACCAATGAATTCTAAAATATGAGGTAAATTTTTTTGCTAATAGCATGTCAAGATAATTTTATGGTTCCTTATTCTTACTGAGTTGATATACAATAATGATAGCCAATGATGAATTATCCTTTATGAATGGTATAGAGTCAAAGAATTGAAGAATAACAATTTGCTGGCGGTATGATATAATGTTTTTCGAGTTCAACATATTTAAATTAAGTGTTAGGGTGTCAAGTGTAGATTGCCTGTCTACTTGAGAGCAAAAGCTCACTTGCAATGAGTACTCTCACACTTTTTAATTTGATCTTAAGTAGGGATTGATTTGGTCAACTATTTAAGGTGTTCTATCTCTTGCTTGCTTAACTAATTGAGTATGCATTAAAAAAATAATTTCTCTTATTTTGATTTAAGTCATCAACAACTCAACTTTCTTAACTCAAATTTTGACCACCTACAAGTAGAAATTTAAGCATTATCATAAAGAGCAAACTAATAAAAAAAATCCTTTGAGTATGTATGGTATTTTTGTCAGTGACAAGTTCTGAATTGAAGAGTTCAGTGCCTTTGAGATTTATCATGATCAGAATGAATGAACTAGCAAATTCCAAGGGCGAGCCCCCAAATGCCAAATGCAAGGCAAATTACTTAGTTCAGTTACTTAGGGGTGAGTTCCTCGAGTCCAATTTTTCATTAATATATAATTTTCTTCAAATTCCTTGGGGAATATTTCCTATAATGCTCATTTTGTTGTGAGATTTGAATTTATATGAGACAAACTTTTCTTATGCAAAAAAATCTCAAGAGTTTGATTTCATTTACTTTCTTCTCAATCATAAGTACCAAATTCAAAGTTTTTGGGACACCAACCTTTCTAGTTAAGATTAACATCCTTAAACAATTCAATTGTTGCTCTTAAAAAATATAGAATTGTTATCGCCACTTGAATTATTTTCAGTGAAAATCGATCATTCTTTTCCTTTTTTCATGGGCAGCTTATCAAGGCTTAGTCTAGGATCAACGTGTAGGAATTCTTTGAGCTTGTTCATGCGATTAAGTTCCTAAACAAAGATTATGAAGGGAATGACAATCTTTAAGTAGTGTGATTGTGATCCTTATGGTAAAAATAATATTTGGATAGGTCCCGAGTATATGACGGCTTGCGCATTTGATGTGGTCAATGAAACTACTTTTCGTGCTCTACAATTTCAATAAGTGACAAATGCAAAAGAGTAAAAGTCGAATACTCGTGGTATAGAGGTGTCTTCTCGTTTATCAAGAAGTTGTTAGTAGACATGCTTCTTTATTTATTATGGGGGTGAAGACTCTTTGCAGACTCTCCTGCTGATGCTGATTCTGATGCTTGTTATGATGATGCTTCAACTTCTTAACTAAATTATCATAATATCACATAACATGCTTCACTAAACATGGATGTGTCGTCAGAGTCGAGTATCTATTGGAGGTTTGAAATGATGGGGCTTGAAAAATGAAACCAATGTTATGAGATTGTATTCCTCCATGTGATATGACTATTTTCAACAACTCGGTTAATAGTTTCTGAAAGTGTTCTTTGATTTTTTTGATAATCTTTGTTGAGCGATCCTTCAGAAAATTCATTTGCCCAAGGATAATGAAGTTGCTAGTGATGTGTACGTTCTACATAGATCTTTCCCTATCACCAGGATGCTCCATGGCTTGGTTCTTAGTCTTTGGCATGTTGCTGCTCATAGTATCATTTAGGATGTTGGAAGTCCTTACTTGAAGCATGAATCGAGTCTGATAGGGAAACAAAGATTGGGTTCAAAGATTATCTATGATTGATAAAGTTTTATAGGTAACCTAATTGATCTCTTAGATCAAAGAAAGAAATATAGAGGGCTAGATATTTTATCAGACAGTGTTTTGGCAAAAAAGTGCAAAGTGATCTTATGCTCATGCTTGATTTTTTACCCCATATTTATAGGTGTGGTCTAAGGTCAATAGTATATAAAGAGCTACATAATAAAGTAAAAAAAGCATTAAAAACTCACTATAGTGAGCCGTTTTGTGGACGAGTCCTTCTAAGTGCTATCCAATTAAATGAACTCAAGTTGAGTAACCTAATTGAGGGTCTTGACGAGTTCTATTGGCAAAGTGACTTTACGAGTTTACTGATGAAAACCCTTTTGTTTTCCATGGTGAGTACCATTGGAAGAGCATTCAAGTTCTTTTAATAAATAGCTTAGGTGGTAGAAGCCTTGGTCGCAAGTTTAATAGTTCAATAATAAAAGCTTAGTTTGGCTAATTCTTGGGTGAGTTGATGAGATCCTAGCTCGGGCAACTTGAGGCAATTAGAAACTTGTGAACAATGTTTATGCTCTCATGATGATTTGATCAACCATACCCAAATATGAATATGAGTGTGAATTAATGTGTTTTTGATGCATCTTGGAACTAAAAACAGCAAAATAGATAGAAGGAAAATGTATGAATACAAATGGGGGCATATTTTTGATTACTTTTTCAACAATAACAAAAGATAAAATTGATTTATTATTGGAGAGGTAGAACACAATTAGAAAATCTTCCTAAACAATTAAAATTTCCTAAATAACATAAACACAATTAAGAAACCTTCCTAAACAGCCCCCTTGATTCCTCTTCCTTGCATAATGAATAATAACTCCCCTGGGCCATAAGGGGGGCCGAAATCTCCTCCTAATTATGCTGAGCCAAAGCGCTGGTTTGGCCATGGTTGGGCCCGTCTGCTGGGATGGCTTGGGCCGATTTGGCTAGAGTGGTCTGGGACGGCCAGGTTTCTACCCTTTGCGTATCAGTTCCTTGCTTCATTTTATTATACAAACGTATTTCCTCATCAAAGTAAGCTGATAGTACCCAGTAATTAGCACATAGTGTCCACGTGTTCTCTAGGAAGCCTCTGTAGAAATGCCTGAGGTTGCATGGAGGAGATAGTGATTACCGGCAATTACTTCCAGTTCATTTAAGTTTGGCCAAGTAACTATGTTGCTTGCCTTTAAAAAAATTCACGTTCAGGTCCCTCAAGTTCATGGGGGTTCTCTATCATTTTTAGAAGGCCATTAAAGCAAATAGCAAGATAAAGTATCCATTTTACAGAATCCTTTTAGTCTAGTTCTTAATTGCAAATTGTTTCAGGTAGTTTTTAAACCTGGTCTTTGGTATAGTATTGACCATATTAATGAACTTAGGCCACGCATTTAAAACTTAATCTGAGGTTTGCAAAGACTTTCATTACACATAGTCTGCAGCTTGTATTGGATGCCTATTTCATTCAAATTTGATGTATGAAACCATTTGTTTTTAATTATTAGCACATCATCTTATAAGTTCTGTAGATTGGATTTTAATTTATTGACCAGAGTCTGCTGGCTTCCCACTCCGCTCTTATCTGAAAGCTTCACTGTATTTTCCTCAGGTAATGTGCCCAACATGCCTTTGCACTGGGATGGCGATGGCAAGTGAACATGATCCACGAATTGATCCATTTGATTAAGTCTTAATGGCTTGTCTGGGGACGAAGCTTGCAGCTCTACTTGAATGGAATGTTTCTCATCGGAAAAGTTAGTGGTTAGTGAAAGATTTCCAGTATCTGTGATATAAAATATTAGTTACTGCTATTTAGATTATCTCCCAGTCGTGTGTCCGCTAAATATGTATATGGTGATCGTATTACAGAAAAATATGCAAGTTACATTAATAAATTTACAAAGGAGCAGTTTTTTTAAGCACCAAAATTGAAGCTCGTCATCATCATTTGCACTCACAAACATAGAGCAAGGAACCTTGATCAACATGATAATGATCACCCCTTTAAAGGGTTAATTTTCAATATATGTCGACCCAGCAATGGAAGATCCATGAAGATTATTATTGTTGACCGCACAATGGAACCACTATAGGAAAACAATAATTTCCGGTGGATTTTGACCGCCGGTAATACGTAATTTTTCTGTAGTGAACTCTGATCACTTCACTGTATTTTCCTCAAAATTCTTCTGCACACACCGTTAGTCATTATTGGTAAAAAATAAATCAAAATTCATTTTTAAACATACAATAACAACCATATTAAGTCTTTATTCTACTACATCCAGTCGGCTACTTGAATTTTTTTTCTTCACTATCATGTTAAGAGTCAAATGATAAAAAATGATATAATGCAAAGAACGATAGTTATGAAACAAAAGTTTCATCTCTCTATGGTGGAATGAAAATGAACTTTTTTGAATGAGTACGAACCTTGTGGACTATGGAATGAATAAAATTTGAATTAAAAATGCTTTCTCCCTGACTCCTAGCTAAAAATATGCTCAGAACACAAACATGAGAATTTGAGAATGATGACATTACAGTGATAGTCACACACAAACTCTCTCATGATGCCATTTTAAACTAGTTCTTAAGATCATGTAAGACAATTAGACAAAGGCCCAAATAAAGTCAAATCTACCACAAATCCAACAATTTTAATAAATTTCACCTTTTTGCAACTCCCAAAACCTGAAATTTTTTAGCCCATGTCAAGTCTATAGAAGTCTTAATTAACTCTTAAGCAATTTAAGCAATTTGATAATACCTTAAGTATCTAATGTTAGTCTCATATCAAGTATGGTAAATCTTAAGATCCATCATTCTTAAGCTCCACAAAGCTCCACATGTGGATAAATTATTACGTGCGGTCACTGGATCGTCCGAAGGCGAATTAGGTTGTGCCACGTCACCTGGTACACGACAAAATAATTACGTGGCACGTCATGATTCGCCTCCGAACGGCGTCTGGTGACCACACGTAATAATTTCACCCACATGTGACCTTGGTCCAATAAGCTCCTTACAAAAAGTCCCAATATGCATGCAAAATTCAATTAAAAAATAGTATTATGTGATAGCTATAAAAAACACTAAAAATATCACAAAATATGAAAAATTGTGAACTTTGGTCAATAATCCATTCCTGGTAATTTTTACCCACCATTAAAATTGTAGCTTAAAATTTTAATAAAAGTTTTAAAGATTTTCAAAACCAAATTTTATTATGTCATAATTTGAGCATTTCCAAATTAGCAAATTAACACAAGCATATTATTAATTAGAATTGCGAAAAAAGGGGAATTCAATGATAAATGTAGGTTTTTGGAAGTCACCAACATATATGAAAATCTCATAAATTTGTTGTATTTATCTGTGGGCTTCGAAAATTTGAGCTTTAGGGCCTCGACCTCTCTGCATTATATTCGGGGAGAGTTTTAATGGATGAAGTTCTGGGGGAAATTTTCGGAAGACATATTAAATAGATATAAGACACTACTCAAAGATTTCGCCCTCTTAACGAGGACTTTAAGATATGAGTTTTTGTTTCCTATAGGCGCAAGCCTCTATAGTTAATTAGTACCTTTCTCGATTGCGAGAGAGTACTTTCGATTAAGGTTAGTCTTTAAGCAAATACTTAGTATTCAACATATAATAACAACAGATCTAGATATTTAAAATTGGAAAATTTATCACTCATCACTTAAAGCAGATGGTGGGGGAATGATGATGAATCTGATCAAGATCCCATGATTCTGTGGTCTTGGATCATCATGGTCCCTAGTCTACTTAGTCAGAGAAGGTAGTCGACCCAACCTATCCGAAAGATCCTTGTTGGCAACCATGGGTTGCTTCGTACAAGAGTACTTTGTAGACTTGAGATAAATGTTTGTCTAAGGGATGAATTCTGGTCGATCTTAGCTAACATATGACATTATAACCTATCAATTATACCATATAATTTGTTATACCATATATTTTGTTAATAAATGATAAGTAGCCATTGGGGAACATACAGACCTTTAGCATGACCATAACACAGAGTGGAGTAGTTTGACCAAGCCACCAGGTCAGTGGCCATGATCATAATCGCTAACCATGTGGAGCTGGTCTAGCCAAGCCACATGTTCTTTGTGTAGCCATCTGACCAAACCACTGATTAGATGATCAGTCATAACCATACCAGATAGAGTCGTCTGGCCAAGCTACGGGTTAAAGTGGAATCATACTGGCCAAGCCATCAGTTATAGGACACATGTCACGTCCTTACTATCATAATGAAATTTGAGAATGAATCTAAGTGATATTCTCAACTAGACATTGCTCTTTGTGAGCTAGAGTTATCCTTGAGTTAATCACCCTTGCCAAATGATTACGAAGGATGGATGAGTTATGCTTTAAGTTTTAGATAATTAATTTCAATTTTAAATATAAGAATTCTTAATAAATGTAGAGCTTTAGAATTTTTGTTAGGATTAAAAAATTAACACATTCGGTTGATATTAGCTTTCAACACTATCATCATCGGGGTGACATTATAGTCATTTGAAAATGTTTGTATTTATATGAATTAGGAGGCATTTAAAAGGAAATAGTCCCCTCCAGTTGATATTACCTTTCAACACAGTCATCACCGGGGATAAAATGTTTAATATATTTAATTATCTGAATCTTATCGACTCTGTTCAACCGTTAATAGAGGATTGAGTTTGATTATTGATATTATGCAATCGCTGAAACTGAGAGCTTATATTTTCTCGATGAGTTGCATTTAATGAGTCTTTGAAGGCCTACTCTTAACTTTAATATTAAATATCCCTGTGAATTTATGATTAAGCATTCACTTATTAATTCCAAGTCATGTCGACTCCAATCCTTTGAAGGAGGAGAATGAAAGCTGAATATTTGACATGCGCAACATTCTCAGACCTTTGAATTAGGAGTTTGGTAGAATTGTCGGAGAACATGCAATATTAAATTAATGTGCACCATGGTTTAAAATTGCACAATATGAGGCTCGCCTTGAGGGCCGCCTTTGCGCAATTCCAGTAAAACACGCCTCGATGCTTACGCCTTGAGTTTTTTTATGAGGCTTGCGCCTCAACTTGGTTGAGGCCCGTCTTGAAGCCCGCCTCGCCTCACTGGCATGAGGCTTACGCCTCACACTATATATTAAAACTTACATAAATCGTGAAGTAAATGCCCGACATTGGACTCTATAGGAGAGGAGGAAGGGGAAAGAGCAGTTCATCATAATGATGATTCAAATGAAGAACCCCTCAGTGATGACAATGCTGATGACTTATGAGTTCTTATGTGATATGTCATTGCTATTTATTTTTGGATATTTGAATTATATGTTAATGAAAAGAATACTAGGATTTGGGAAAGATAGAATTTTGAGTTGAACTATATTTCATGTTGTCTTATTATTGGGATATTTTGATTTAACTTCATATTTTATGTTTTTTTATGTTTTATATTATTCCCTCGTTAGTATATAAAAAATTTATCATTTTATGTTTAAGCATTCTTTTGATTTTGAGGCTTACGCCTCAAAACGCCTTGAGGCTTACGCCTCGCCTCACGAATGAAAAATGCCTCAATACCCGAATACGCAATTTTAAACATTGATGTGCACACTTCTCGATGTAGTGCCTTGCTACTCGAGGCGGCATCATATTTTTGTTCGATACAAGCCACTTTGTTCTTGCCTATAAGCTAATCACTGCATGCACTACGAATTTTTTGTTTTTGCTCACAGGTGAATTGTAGTGTTCATTAAAAATTCCTTGCCATTATCCATAGACAAGTTGGTTTGTTTGATGTGAGCTTCTTTTACATGCCTGTAGTCGAATTATTGTGGGCACTACAAATTCCATGATGGTTCTTTTAGGTGATTTATAGTGTTGTGCTACAGGTTACTTGGTGTTTCTTGTAGGTAGACTGTTGTGCGGTACAAGTTTCATCAGTATTAACTATGGGCAAGCTATATTCATTATAAGCATGTTGTTTTCATCTGTTGGCAGATTGCCATATGTATAACAAGTCTTCTGTTGTTGCACGTAGGCAAGCTATTGTATGCACTACGAATTCCTTGTTATTGTTCATAAGTGAATTGTAGTATTCATTAAAGGCCTATTGTTATTGGCTGTAGACGGCCTGTAGTGCACCCTTCATATTTGCCTATGCATGTAGGCAAATTATCACATTCATCATGAGTCCCTTCTTGCTCACAGGGCTATGTTGTGAGTTCCATGTTTCTGCCCGTAGGTCGACTTATGTGAGCATTACAAGTCATCGATTGTTTCCTATAGGCGGGCTACATTAAGTGCAAGTCCTCTAGTGTCGTCTGTAAGCTAGCTGTTATGCGCATTAAGAGACCATATTCATGCTTGTAAGCAAGCTGCATCATTAATGACAAGTCTCCTTGCTTTTCACCAATGGGCAGTTTGTTGTGTGTATCACAAGTTCAGATTGAGCATGTAGGTGGACTAATATGTTCATTATAGGTATTATATCTTCTTCAATAAGTGGGTTGTCACACTTATTACAATTATTCTATTCTTGTTCTTACTCATAAGCAAGTTGTAGTTGAACTACCATTTACATTGTATGTTCATTACAAATATTACTTAGCTTCTTTGATTTTGCAAATTGCATTTAATTTCATTCTAATCTTAGAATATTAATTTAGGTATGATTCCCTGCAATTTTAATTTCAGTGCATTTTTCATTGTGCATATCTTTTAAAATTCTAAGTTCAATTTTCTATTAAGATTTTGGCAGTCTCTCGACGTCTCCCCCTTGTAGGGGGAATTTTGGGAGACTAGGCTTTCCTACCACGCTACAAAAAGTGTGTATGATAGGTATCGGATGACACCGTGTTCGATACCTTCAATCCCACCGCGTTACGAAAAACGTA